TATCTATATATATATATATATATATATATCTTATTCCACTGAGCCATCTCCCTGGCCCCCGACCATGAATATATTATATGTGTGTTTGTTTATGTACAATAAAACCCTGTATTGTGAGTAAGTTCAAAGCAGTAACAAGGAAATTAGCCACAAGTATTTCTGTAGCTAGAGTAAAAGAAATATAGGAGCATTAGGGTCATGTGCTCGTCATCAGTTTTGTGCCAAATGGTGCCTTATTTACATGGCACTAAGATGGGGCTAACGTGGTGCTTGCATGTTGTTGTTTAGACCTGACTGAGTTGCACAGAGGCCAGGTCACTGAAAAGAAAATGGGCCCTATTCCTCTTAGAAGTAGCATTTCCCATGCCATTCAGGCACACTGCATAGTGGAATACTCAACATGGCCCCAAGAAATACTCAGGGAATCTTGTGAGTCTGAGTTCTTTAGGCCACTTGAGGGAAAGTTCAAGAACTAAACCAGAAGGAGTTTCAGAACAAGAAAAGCACTGCCTTTCATCTTTCACAGAAGATAATGGCCAACATACCACAGTTTAGTTTAAGAACTAGTAAAAAAAATTCTGTCATATCTCCCTAGTGACTCAGACTGCAGAAGGTAAGGTCTGCATCATGGCTTCCACACAGAGGCCTGCAGTGCTGTAGGAAGTCCCTGGAGATCCTGAACCAGAAATGAGGCAATAACTTTTGAGGATATGGCTGTGAATGTGAACTTTAGGAATGGTCTCTGCTGGATCATTCTTAAAAAGAATCCTCACAGAGCTATGAGAAAAGAAACCTTCTAGAACCTGGGCTCTTTGCATACAAATAGGAGAACAGACCATTAAGACTGAGTACAAACACCAAGGAAAGTTTTGAAAGTCAGATACTTGGGGAAAAACATAAAGAAAAAGAAGGTAGGGGCCGGGGAGATGGCTCAGTGGAATAAGCACTTCCCTGGCAAGCGCAAGGGCCTGAGTTCAATCCCCGGTTCTGCCAAAAAAAAAAAAAAAAAAAAGAAAAAGAAGGTAGTCACTGGACAATATTTGGATGTCCAGATATTCAGTCAGGAGATATTACTTTCAGCAACCTTTAAACATAAAAACACTTTGAGCAGAGAGAGGTCTGCTCAAGGGGAAGTCCAGGTACTAATCCAGCAGCATTAGTCCTGGAACAGATATCCTAGTTCAAAAGGCTAGCTATAAAACACCTATAGGGTCCCTCTTAGTACCAATAAAACAGACCAAAAATCCAATGAGATCATGACTAAAGGGCAAAAGAAGAAATGACACTTAAATATGGGCAGGTTTGGCATGTACGAAGGGTAGTCAATACAGAATGAGTGTCTTTGGTGCTGGAACTATAGTTCCCTCCCATGCAGACCCTCTTGCCTTTTATTACACAGTGTATGACTTGGGAGTCAAATGTGTTCACATCAGGGAAGGTGGAAGCAAAAGGCACATTAAGGGGCTGACAGCGAACCTCCCCTTCAGGGACAGTAAAAAGGTACTGGAGTTCCAGGCCTAGCATTCTACTGTTGACAAAAACAAAAACAAAAAGTAACCACTTCATAGGGACTGATTCAACCAGAAATCCTGTGAGGAGTAGCAGAATCTCAAGTGCCTACACATTTATTCAAGGACAAGATACAATCCTAAAATAAGAACACCATATTAAATAGAGGATACTAGTGACTCATAACTCTGAAATCATTGTAATTAGAAATAGAGTCATCTCTAGTAGAATCCTTTGCTGAACAGTCAGGAACCAAAATGAAGGAATTGGGGAAATCTAACCCATAGTTTTCTGGTGTACCAATCGTATGAATAGTGCAAGGAAAGCATGAACCTCTTCCTTTTATAGCTTATAGACAATGTCAGAAATTTATTCAACCACCGCCAAATACCAAGTAAATAAGAAATCTGTTAAATCTCATTAACAAATAGGCTATTACATGAGAAAAGTGTTCACAACAAGGGGGTATATGATAGAAGCACTTTATATATCTGACAGTCTAGGCCTGTTCACATAAAGAACGTGGGAAAGGAATCCTTCCCAATTAAAGTAAAAAAAAAAAAAAAAAAAGACCTAGGGAAGAACTCAATAAGGTCTCACCAGTGTGAAGTACAGGACATAATATGGCCACATTAATCCAAACCCAAGTTGCAATTCTTTTCTTTTTTTTTTTTCAGAACCGGGGATTGAACTCAGACCCTTGTGCTTGCCAGGGAAGTGCTTGTTCTACTGAGCCATCTCCCAGCCCTCAAGTTGCAATTCTAAAACAGCACTGTAACTGATAATACCAATGATTTTCAAGTCAGATACCAGAAATTACTGGAAAGGGTAGCTTGCAGTAGATTTCCTCCCCAGGCATGAAAAGCCAGAAATAGCAGGGCACATATCTCTAGAAAACCAGCCCACAGTGTAGTGGATTTCCAGTTTTATTCAGATTTCCCAGCAAAGAATAATACTGTCCTCCCTTCATAGCTTAGAGACCAAGACAGAATTTACAGCTCCAAATCCTGAATGGATAAGGAATGAGATAAATCATGCTGACCAATTGCAACTTCCTGTCCACTGGGACAGACAACTTCTTTGCCAAGAGCAATAGGTCACCTGGTGGGACCTCAGTTCACAAAGTTCAAAACTTGTGGAGATTTGCTGCACTGAACTCTG